TATTGTAATGTGTTAGTCTTGTATATATATTTATCCTAATTGAGTGTAACGTTTGTATTTTTAAACCTACGCCCCTCTTGGAAATCAGCTCTTGCTGTAGGGGTTAGCGTAGACAAATAAAGTTTTTACTTACTTTACTTACTTTTATTAGGAGTCGCAAACTCGCAGGTCGTGTTTTATTAGGTCTAAAGCCACTCGCGCTGCGTGCTCGTGACTTTAAACCTAATAAAACACTCCTGCTCGTTTATTAAACAGTACATAAAATCCTAGTTGCCGAGCAAAAAGCATGCACGTTGCTAAATATAAATATCGACTATTTAACAATTAGACAACGAAGCCGAGTTGTCTATGAGCGAATAGTCAACGAGGCGAAGCCGAGTTGACTATTCGTTCAGAGACAACGAGGCTGAGTTGTCTAATTGTTAAAGTATAAACCACATAAAGAAAACGGAATTTTTCACTTCATTTTTACGTAAAATAATAACGTTTTAACGAAATGAGCGTTTAAATGCTTCCTTTGGCGACATTTCGCCTCGGCCTTGTTGACAACTACTCAGTGTTGCGAACTCCCAAGAATGACTTGAAAAATACAACTTGTGAGTTTTGGAAAAGTTAAAAAACATGTCGTAAAACAGGAGACCGTTATAGAAGCAAAGTTTAGTTAATTAAAACTTATTTAAAAGAAGGAAATAAAGCTTAATAAGTCCAAAATTTCGAACACAAAATGGCTTCCCGAATTGTTACTAAATTAGTATTAAATAAAGTTTACGTTAAAAAGCCGAATAAAAATGCACACACATGCAAAAGAATCCGATTATCCGAATGTCGTTGAAATCTTTAACATATCTGGAACATAAAGAGGCAAACATTTCCATAATCTAGTATACATAGACAATAGTTTAGATTAAAATTTAATCGAAAAACTCGACTTAAAAAGGCTCGAAAAGGCGAAAAACAAACTCGGCCCAAATCTCAACATTTAAACAAAAAAAAACTCTTTAAAATGACAGCTAAATACATGAACTCGTACTCATACAAGCACACACTAAAGAGGTTGAGAAAATAGGGGTAAATGTTGAATTTCAACGATTCTGCTTGGAATATTAGGAAACATTGTGCATATATTTAAAAAAATCGCCTGTCACTTTCATGTTCATGATCAAAACTACGGGCAAACTTGAAAAAACTTTAAAAATTTTACCGCATTTGTCAGCAGTTTCCAAGAGTCTTTGCTTGTGTGTAATCCAAAACCAAAATTAGGCCATTTTGATAAACTTTTCCCCTTTAACTGCAGCTTTTAATACTTAAAAACGGCCATTGACTCTCGCCCCCTTCGCCGCTTGTTGCTACTAGTAGGCTATCACTAATAGCCTACTAGTAGCGTAGCCAATCAGAACGCACGATACATGATAGCCTACTAGTAGGTTTATACTAATAAAAAATATACTGTAGCCCTTTTTCTAGATCTTCGTAAAGCATTCGACGTTATTGATCATTCCATGCTTTTAATGAGACTATGTGATTACGGATTTGGCGAAAACGCAATGTTACTTGCAGCGTGTTAATTCATATACTTAAAATGTGTTACTTGCAGCGTTGTTCCCTACTTTAAAAATGTTTAAATGGAGATGGTCCAACATATCTTTCGGAGAAATTAATAGCTTTGATGAATAAGCACAATTATTATATACACAAGGTCTGGATATGAGGTATTCTGCAATCTGATTGGTCCCCTACTAGCAGGATATTAGCTCATATCCTGCTAGTAGAGAAAAACAAAATGGCGGCCAAACTGAATTTACCATGTTTTGCAAACGAGAAAACGGCAAGTTGTCGCTTTTTATAGCCTTCACAGGATTAAAAACACAATGAAAAACTCCCACAAATTGTTTTCAGGTTAGCAAATAAATTTTTAATATTTACAACGGTTAAAAATATCTATTTTTGCAAAATAATCGGCCGAAAGAGCGAAGATAAAAACATAAACAAAATAGAAAAATATTGAAAATATTCGAAAAGCAAAGTCTGTGAATTCAGACCTTGTGTATATAATAAAACAGTTATTCCACTCACTCTCGTCGAATATGAGCAATAGCCGATTCGGCGCCACGCGCCTCATCGGCTATCAGCTCATATTCGACTCGAGTTCGTAGAATAACTGTTAATTATCGAACAAGATCGGCGGCAAATGGACACTTGGCCATTCCCAAGCCACGTACGAACAGTAATACAAGATCGTTTCAATTGTTGGGCGCCAGTTTAATGGAATAGTTTGCCATTAGGTATTAGGGAAAAAAACAAATCTAAGTAGTTTTAAAATGGCCGTTAGGACCAATTTTAAGTAACCATTGTAAATAGGTACTAAATAGTAACTTAACTAATATGATAGTAACTTTTGATAGATAGTAATATAGTAATAACTTTAATCTGTAAACAGGGTGTAAAATGAAAAACCACTTCGTGGATTTTTCACTCTTTACTAAAGTCATTCATTCATTCAAGTGGTATGATTCCTATTTGTCAAGTAGGCAACATTATGTAACTTATCAAAGCGTTAATTCTGACCTTGAATACATAACTACTGGCGTGCCTCAAGGGTCAATACTCGGCTCAACACTCTTTTGTTTATATTACAATACCATTATACACAGCTTCAAGAGTGTAACACTTTCTTGTGTGCTGATGACACTGAAACTCATTTTTCGCACTGTGACTTGGCGATGGCACAAGCAAAGATTAATAATAACTTAATGAATGTTGACCAATGGTTATCGCAAAACAGAATGATAGCTAATGTTAAGAAAACCAAGTCACTGTTAATTGGGTCTAAACCTGCGCTAAAGAAGGCAGAAAGGATTTGTGTCCAACTCAGTAATGAAGTCGTAGAACAGGTAATTCCCAAATCGTTTTGACAACTGTTTCTTCGCCCTTTCATAAGTGTCATTGCCATCCAGTAACATGAATCCTTCGACAATCGCCTTTGCTTCACCAGAAACATATTTTTCCAAATAATGGGGTTTTTCCGCAGAGCTAATCGCAGGACTTTCTATTAGCGTTTCAAATGCTTTTGCCCATACTGGGTACTTCAGGTGATCGCCAGAAAAGACGCCAGGCTCTGGCAAACGTAATCTGCTTTGATTCTGGATTTTTAGAATTTTCAATATCGTAGTCAGCTGGGTTTGGACCAGGTTGGGGTTTCAGAGGGGGTCTTCAATGGCAGTTGATGATTGGTTCACGTGGTTGAGGGGTGTTGAATCCTGTACGCTAGTATATGGATGGATTTGCCCATTACAAGCATAGGTAGGTGCCATGCAGGGGGATTGAATTGGGATGTTGTCATTGATTTCCTACTTCACAGGGATCTGGGCTTCGTTAGTAGACATGTTCGGCTGAGGATCGAGAAATTACTTTCTTAATGTGTTCATCTACACTAATCTGATCGTTGTCCCCGAAGTCAGGCATCACGACTTCTTCTTGAAACCTTTTACATACGATCTTCTCAGCTAGCTCCTTCGTAATCTTATATTTCTCGGCGGCCATTTCAATTTGTTCTCTTACTCTTTTCTCTTCTCGCTCGATTGCAATCTATTTCTCCTCAATTTGCTCCAGAACTATTCCCCCGCTACCAGGATCAAACGTATTGGGTGATTAGGTCGGTCGTCTTCATTGTCGAATTGTATTCCGTTCAGATGGGGGTGTTCTTCCTTTAACCCATGGATACCGGGGTTGGTAAGGGTTGTCAAAATTGTCCGGTCTAACATACTCACTTTGAAATCTAAACTCTGAATACCGTCTGTGGACTTCAGTGCAACACTATAGTAAGGCATCTTTTGATTGACAGTGTCAGTCATTGTTTCAATGTTTTTGTTCTCCCAATTGGTTGGTCTAATTCCTAAGTATTTAATGACTATTGATTAGACAAATGAACTGCCAGCACCTGCCACCTGTGTCAAGTGGCAGGTGCTGTTCCCTTGGTCGCACCAATCATGCATGTAATGGGAAGGAGGCTCTTCTTTTACAGAACAAATAGATGTCTGGTGCTTGCCACTACATTTCCTCCAATTTCTCTTCCAACTTTCCGCCCCATGTCCTGTCAATAGGTCATCTAACCCCCACTCTTGCCATTTAGAGTCTGTTCTGGTCAGATCTGCCTTTATGGGGCCCAACTTGTCTAGAGTTTCTCTGACTAAGATCTCGGTAGTGTCTAATTTTCCCAGAGTTCGCAATGAGTTCACACTCACATTAAACAGTCGATAAAATTCATGAATTTGTTTTAAGTTAACTGATGATATCACTGATAAATTCATAATTTGCTTACCATGAGCTTGAATGATCTCTGATGTAACCCATACTTAGCCTCGAGAACTTCTTTGGCTATCTTGTATCCATCCTCAGTGTACGGAAGTCCTAGTATTTCAGTTTTTGGTCGTTCACCCAGTAGTTCTCGCAAGTATGCAAATTTAGTTACAGCCGGTTTAGAGGTCTTGCGAATTTCTGACTCAAATTAATTGTTCCCAAAAGCTGTTCAAATCTAGTTAATCAGCCATAAATTTACTTGTCCCCAACTTAGGTAACCTTGCAGTGTTTTGTTCCTCTTTCCAATGTTGCAGTCATATTTCGTCGCATTGTAAATCATATCTTCGCAATCAGCTATGATAGAACTAAAGTTTGAGCAAGGGTTGGATCTTGAGGCGGTTGATGAATGGGCAATTGGACCAGATAAGGTTATCGAAGGTTATGAACACTCTTTGGAGGCTATGGAAGGTCTTCTACAAAAGATCGACGAGGATAAGGAAGCCAGGAAGAGACATGACATTGAAGCTCGAGAAGAAGAGAAACGGATGAGAATTCGACAAGAAGAAGACGAAAAACAGGAATGGCTACTAAGCCATGTAATTTATTCAGTTTTTCTTCCAAATTTCCCTTATGTCGTTGCAGTTTTCTCTCGTTTCTCGATTCTAAAATCGTTTCAGTTTGACTGTTCAAGTGCAGAGAAACTTTAAAACTGGTTTGCAACTGTTTTTGCACAACTGTGAGACGGTCCATTGGTGTTTCACTTTGATTTTCGCCCCCAGTAGCTTGTGATTCCTCCAAATTTGACTCGCTTTGGCCCTTCGTAATAGGCATATTTCTGTAGCTAAAAAAATCCTGTTCACTGTATAATCCTTGCGGTGGTCGCCACCTTACGTGTGGGAAATGTTTTCACACGCAAATAAGGTTTTTCTGTTCATATATTTACTTCAAAAACTCTTACAAGTCTTATAAAATAAACACAAAACCTAAACATGTCCGCCATGACACACAAACCGGAAACTCGAGATTAAACACAAATCAATAGATTTTCAACACCCGTAACCATTGAGTTGGATAATTCTGATACTCGTCAGAGTAAAGCTGTATCTACGCCGCCACTCCCACAAATGTCTACGACCGCACATACATATTCTTGCATGTTTAGAATTCTAATTTTATCCGGTTCTTGGCAACAATTACAATTAAACGTCGATTGGCTGTTTAATTAAAATTATAATTCTAAACATGCAAAAATGTGTAGGTGCGGTCGTAGACGTTTGTGGGAGTGGCGGCGATACGAATTTTTGATGCGTTTCCACAGTTCGGTGAGTCCCGTAATATACTGATTCGTACGTACGTTTTATAAAGAACGCATCATGCTGGCTCAATTGCATAATTAAAGTATATAAAATATGTTAGTATATATTGTACCCTTAACCATGAAAAAATTTGCATAGCCCCCGCCCCCGTCGGGGAACATAGCTCCTCCGTCGGGAAATTTCTGGCGCCACCACTGACCTTGTCTGATTCATAGTTAATGACAAGAACTACACCTGATTGCACGTAGGAAATATCAATTGTTTGTTTACAATGTTATCAAGATGGGTGACACGAAGCTCTAGGAAGATGTTCTGTGATTGGTTGATTATGACAATGACAAAAGAATAAGCTATTGAATGGATTTTCTGAAGAACGAAGATAGAACAATATTCCTTTTGTTTATGTAAGCCAATTACGTCTTTTGTCATTGTCATAATCAACACGTCACAGAACATCTTCCTAGAGCTTCGTGTTTACTGTATCAAGATACCGAAATTAAATATACGAAATATACATATATTAAAAAAGAACACAAAAATCAAAATGCGTCATAGCAATTATCTTTTATCCCAAAACTACGACAAATGTTTTGTACTTTAATATTATTGTTAGTGTCGGCGTAATTAGCTGAACGTCTACGAAGCCCTATCTTCTCTTATCAAGTTAACCTATACACTGGCACAGATTATATTTAACATTATTCAATATTTTATACCTACATTGCCATTGGTTTATGATATTGAACTTCCCAGCTGTTTCAAACAAACGTTGCGAACTAAAGACAATATTATCATGCTTTCTGATATTCATTTCAAATGAATGGATTTTCATGAAAACGTAATTATTATTAGAACAGGTCACAGGTGGGAAATTCGGGCATGTTGTAAAACATGGACTGGGCCTTGCATTGGACTGGACTTGTAAACTATGGACTGGACTTGTAAAACATGGACTGGACTTGTAAAACATGGACTTGTTCGTAAAACATGGACTTGTATATCATGGACTTGTATAACATGGACTGGTAAACATGGACTTGTAAATCATGGGCTTGTAAAACATGGACTTGTAAAACATGAACTTTTAAAACATGAACTTGTAAGACATGGACTTGTAAAACATGGACTTGTAATTAAAACATGCACTTGTAAAACATGGACTTGCAAAACATGGACTTGTAAAACATGGGCTTGTAATTAAAACATGGACTTGTAAAACATGGACTTGTAAAACACGAACTTGATCTTCGAGCGAATTTATTATCGATGATATGTTTCTCTATAATTATGTAAACCAATACAGGGAGAAAAAAAAACCTGAACAGATATGAATTTCTTATCAATTTTGCAAAACAGCTATTAGTATCCAGTTTTTTTATAATAATAACTAAAGCAAATTGTCTGACATTTTGTACAGTAATTAAAAACCCAACAAATTTTCCATCTACTAAGGTGTGGCCCTCTGGGTGTAGCCTACGGTGTAGACCCCAGCAGAAACACGTTTCGTGTGGGGTCTACGAATAAACGAAGAAAAGCTTGTCCGGCCGACGTCATATCCGTTTTACGTTTTAGGTAAATTAACTTCAATTTATTCAAATTTCTGATTTCTGAAGCAGTGAAGCGTGCGTAAATGTAAATTTTCATTTGGCGCTTATTAAAATGTTCCATGGCTTTGTGCAATACAAATGTGTTCTTTAATTCAATGTTCCGTCGAATAAAAGCGATATTAATTTCGTGAACAGCAAGGAGACTGTACGTAAGGAGTTAGACGATTGCGCGACCTTTCCTTCTCCATTTCACCTACAAATAGCATTTGTAAAGCATGCCTGGCCGCCTGGCGTTGGTAAACAAACGGTAAAACGGAGAAGCTTCAAAGAACGGTTTAATATCTGAACTAGAGCCTAGACAATACGATAACGAACGTGCACGAAACAGCATTAAACGCTATTGGTATACCGCTTAAAGTACAGCGAAATGCCGTGAGGAAACTGGGATTCGACCCGACTTGCGATAAAGCTTTTATGCCGGCTACATTTAGTACGAAATCGACTTTGTCTTCGGCTTCAGAAATTGGATATCTTGATAAGCTTCAAGCCTTCAACAGCTTAACAGTTTGTACGAATGACAAGAACTTTTTAGTCCGTTCGGACATGTGTTTAATGGTTGGGAATATATATAGCCAGGGTATATTTTATTGCACAAAATCCGCCATAATTCATGAAACATTTCAATAAGCGCCAAATGAAAATTTACATTTACGCACGTTTGACGCTTCAGAAATTTGAATAAATTGAAGTTAATTTACCCAAAACGTAAAACGGATATGACATAAGCCCGGCGAGCTTTTCTTCGTTTATTCGTAGACCCCTCACGAAACGTGTTTCTGCTGGGGTCTACACCGTAGGCTACTAAGGTGCCGCTCAATACAGCTTTAAAAAAATGGAACATTCACGATTTAGACGCGTATTTTTGGACAATTATTGTTGTTGATAAATAAAAAGTACCTTACTTATCTAAAACAACATCGAAAGAGTTTGAATTTTTGCCCAAAAGATACGCAACTGCCGTTGCTATGGCAACAATGACGTTTCAAGATGGCTTAACTTTAAGCCGTTTTTGAAATAGATTCAAAACATTATAATTGATGGGTGTATAACCGTTGAGTTGTTTAATCGTTTTTCTTCACTTTGGGAACACCGAACATTACAAAATCACGATGTGTAATTTGTAATTAATTACATTTTTAAATGGTAATTTTGTTACTGTAATTAATTACTTTCCTGAAGAAGTAATTGTGATCAGTAATTAATTATATTTTATTAAAGACAGCATAATTTTATTTGTAATTAATATAATTCCTCATACGAGTCAAGTTCTAGGAATAGTAGATTTGCGTTGTGTTCATTATAGAGGTTAAGATCTACGACGCGGCCGGCTCAACGACGCGCTTGGGAAAGAAAGAAATTTGTCATGCAAGACAAAAACTGTGAATAATTTGTGGTCCCAGAGGTATTCTCAACGGCTTTGTCATGCTCAGCAGAACGTTAAACTAAGCATTATCACGTCTTTCAAGCGAAGCTTATTGCGACCCAAAAGGTGATACTTAATGTCGAAATTACAGCAACATTGCATCGCTTTAGTCAAACTTAGCAGTTTGTAGAAGTGTTATTTAATTCGATAGCACATAGCAGTTACATCGAGTTATTTGTTATCTATGACCGTTTGCTGAGTTATAGTTGCACTGTTTAAATTTTAGTTGTTATTTCAGTCTGACCTTGTTGATATTCAAAATGATATTTTTTGCACCGAAATAAAGTCGATATATAACATAATAGACTTTTTACGACTTTTACGCACGACGCACGACATTTTACGCACGACACACGACCAAAACTCAAACTCTTTCTCAGTTTCTCGACGACTTTGTATGTTCATATCTTCGGTTCAGTGCTAGGTTAGTTCAGCGCATGCTATGAAGACATATAATACCACCATTCGATTCAGTGAAGGAAATAATATCAAATAAATATCAACTAATTCCTCACAATAATTTTAGGGGGGGCAAGGGTATTTTCGTGACTCGTGATTACCAATTATTCGTGCTTCGTGATTCGTGATTTAAAGAATGCCATTCCGTGAATCGTGATTAATATGCGTGCCGTGAATCGTGAAGAGCTAAAAGGCTAGCTAGGGTCTTGAATTTACTAATATTTTACCCTAACTTGTGAATGTTTAAGTTTAAACTCGGCCTTAATTTAATATTATGGGGAAAAATGAATAAATTTGCTTCCCGCAGTTGTCTTTCTTGAGGCTTCTTCGTTTCATCGGCAAACGTCGTTATCGTATACCTTCGTATCTCTTCGTAAACTTCATGAACCATCGTACGACGGTCGTAATGTTCCGTAATGCCTCACAATGATTTCCATAGTCCTTTAAATTAAACGGCTCCAATGTTAAAGTCAGTATGTGTTAAATGGTTGCAGACTTTGTTGCGCTTCTGTGCTTCTAAAAATCGTGAAATTGAAATTTTGTTTTAATTTTTGTGACTCGTGAAATCGAAAAATGATCTTCGTGAATTCGTGACGAGATCCCCGTTGCCCCCTCCGATTTTAGTCATTATCAACATTGTAGCGATTTTTGGCCAAACTCAAGCGAGATCGTACAGTATATCAAATTACGCAATTGTCCGAACAAAAATATAACTTCGGCCCTTTTAGACGTATCTTCATTGCAATATTCTTGTTCGAATCGTTATCAATATTCAATAACTACTGTGTGGAGTGTTTATATTTTCCAGATTGTATCTTCAAATTTGTATCTTTTAGTTTTATCACGGTATATAAAAATATCCGATTTCTGGCTAGCCTGCGAACAGGCTCTCAAGCTGAATTGAGAGCCTGCATCGATACTAATAAATTTGAATATCTGCCCCGTAACGTTCGTTTTCCCAAATATGGAATGTCTATCCTTATATGGTATTGTTTACAACTTTCGTGCAAACTAAATTTAGACCGTGCAAACTAAATTTAGACTGTATAGTTTATACTGTTTTTCGAAACATAAGATATTCAAGCAAAAGTTCAAATATTTTAAATACTGTTTTCTCAAAACAGAACATTTCGTGCTTTGAGATAAGACGGCCTTTGAGATAAGACGTGCTTTGAGATAAGACCAATTTGATCAGTTAATGTGTTTTTTATGCATAATGCTTCAGTTGACATATATAGAGCTCAGCGGAAACATATAAATTATAGCATCTGACCAATGAGAATTTCGCGTCACGATTTGAGACTCAGATATTCAAATTCATTAGTCATCGATGCAGGCTTTCAATTCAGCTTGAGAGCCTGATCGCAGGCTAATTTCTGGCCCGACTGTGAGCCGAACAACAACAACAAACTGGCAATCCCAACCGGAAATACAATTTTAAAACGTCAACAATGCGACGTTTGTCACGTTGTGCTTGTGCCAGAAATCAATTCCAAAAGTCAGAATGCACATCTATATATGCTTTTATCTGCCCAATGCCTTTTATTTCCCAGTGCTATTATTCTATTCAGTAGATACATGTCCACCACAGTGGACCTATGTTTTATTGTCTTATTAAAAGGTACTGCTTAAATGTTGAAGAATGACGTATGACCCTTCGGAATCAGTGTCTGCCCACACATCATCAACCGCGTGGATTAACACGTTTCGTCCAGCTAAATTGGGAAATTGAGACCACACCCAGAGACCGGGGCCTGGGGGCGACAATATTGTTGGGTAAGCTTTGCCATTCACGTACAATTGAATACTCGCGTTCGTGTTTCTTTTTCTGTAAAAATGCTGCAATTCGCTGGTACGTTTCTGTCCTTTGTACGCAGGGCTACCCTTATAGAGAGAAACCGATTGAGGAAAAGAATTAGCAAAAAACACCCCACCCCATTGGCGTTCCCAGACACCCCTAGATCTGCACCTGGATGAAACGTAGTGATAGTTAATCATGCAGTTCAAGTTTCCCAAACCTGTTGATTGGTGTAACTTAGATTAGACATCATCAGTTATGCCATGATTTAATTGGAGGTGAACCGCAATTGATATATCGACCGCGCAAAGTAAGGTGGACATCAAAGCCATTGGACATCGAATTTCCATTGGATATCAATGCATGTTCACTGCGACAAACCATCTCATAACTGATCATCTTTTTCCAGTTTTGTCCTATAAAGTTTAAAATACAAACTCGGAATTATAAACACTAAATCGTTAATTAAGGTGCATGTCTTCCACCCTGAAAACATTTTTTTCAAATTAAAGCTTTTGTCATCATATTTGAGTCAAGCATGGTTGATTATGCTTAGCTGACACAGGATAAAAAAACCCTGGGTACGAGGATGACACAGGATCAAAAGACCCTGGGTACGAGGATGACACAGGATCAGTAACTTTTACATTCGTCATTGCCATAGTAACTAAGATAACCCTTCTTTTATAGTAAAATATAGGTTTGCTCAAAAAAGGATGTGAGTCAAATTAAATTAATGAGGATCATAAAAACAGCTTTAATTAATGGATACCTAATATCTGAACCTAAAAAATTACACAGATAATAGAATCAGGCCTTCATGTTTAACCTTTTTGTATCTGCGCAGCGCAGCAGATATACTAATGTGTAAACAATATTCAAATTATGTAGGCTACTAGTGTTTAAACATGAATGCAATTTCTACGATGTATAAAATATAAAGAGCTATATTTCCAGCAAAAGTTTTTTAATATGTATGGTATTGCTACTATTATACGACCAAAAAGTTTGAATGTGTATGATTGACCTGTTTGCTGCAGTAATTTATGTTCCTTGAATAGTTTATGTATATTACTCAAGTCTCAACAGTTGACGTTGGCAAATCCAAATGTAATCCATGCATTATAAATATAAACAATTGACAAAAATTTGCTTCATGTGATTTTATATACAATAAAGTTTTGAAAAACTGTCAAAATTCTATGAGTATGGATCATTAAAATATATATGATTTCAATGTAAATGTTAACTTCTTTATATAATATTGTTTATTGTTTAAATTTGGATGCTATATATATGTCAATAGTATGGATTGTGACAACACCTGCTATCCTGACTCTATGGCATCTAAAATGTTTTGCATATCTCGATTATATGGCAATGATAAAGAAGATTGTCAAGTTATCAGTGTGACATCCCAGTTTATGTATCAACATTATGATGTCACAACTCAGTTGACCTATTAAGGAAACCTTTGTTACTGTTATGGTAATAATCCGAAATACTACTGCAAGTGGAATTTATAGCAGCTATTTCATTCAATATGAAATAGCTGAAACTTTGTTCTACTGTATATAATATATGCTAGTGATATTAATTTTAAAAGTATTGTATTTTGTGCAAGTGTAGTATTGTTTGAATGGAATTTGTATTTCGTGACTGCATGATTATTCGTTATGATCAAAATGACATTGTGAAATTAGTATGTTAAATTCTCTTTCCCCTGTTTACAGCCCTGGTAGATGTGTATTATGCTTGATCTTAATATCTAATTTGCTATTATATAAGTGATGAAATATATTGTGATGAAGTTTCGTTTGATTCCCACAATCGGTTCGAAGAAGTAAAGACTTTATAATATCACGTTTTGTTTAAGTTATAATTCCCGTTCTAAAGTCAACGCTCGCTCACATGTTTTGTACTATATCCGAAGTGTCGATCAAATTGTACATTTCCTTAATAATATTAACACTACTGATCTATAAATGTAACTGTATAAACGTTCACGACACACTCCCCCTATTTTAAATAATCCTTATTTGAAATATAAACTGACTAAGTTTGACTAACTGTTGTTCGCTTTATCAAGTCACTTACAGTTTTACTTATACCCATGCAAAGTTATTAGTCACCGTCCTCTTCAGTCTCCTGCATCTGATGAATATTCCTTAATGCTTCAACCGCTGCTCTTCGTTTTGGTCTAAACTCTCTGGCTTCGGGATTCAGTTCTCCTTGATTTTGTTTCTTCGCTTCACAGTGTAGCTCCATTGGATATAGAAACTGAATAGGTCTTTCGAGGTAACTCTTTCCTGCACGAAGTCTCACCGCTCTCACGATTTCATCTCTTCCAGGTATTAGTTTGTCCACGATTCCAATCTTCCACTTGCCTCGGTTCTTTTCATCGCCCTTCATAAGAACTACATCGCCCCGTGGTGTCGTAAATCGTGTCTCTCTCGAAGTGCTCTCATGTATTCATTTCGCCAACGACGCCATAACGCATCTTTACACTTCTTTAAATGTTTTGCTCTCCTTCGTAGATCGTCTTCTTCAATTTCTTCGGTAGGCAACTCTAATAGATAATTTGCTTTGGTGTGAGAACCGGAAGTTGCACGTCATCTTCACAATACGTTAAAGGGCGGTTATTCAGTACTATTTGTATGTCCAGTAATACATCTTGCAACTCTTTGTAAGTGAGTTTAGCTGAACCAACAACTTTGTAAAGCGAATTCTTCACCAATCCAACCATTCTTTCAAACATGCCGCCCCACCAGCTTGCCTTGCTTAAGTTAAACTGCCACTGGATTTTATGATCCTGCAGAAACGCGTGGAACTTTTCATCTCGTGTAGCTTTCTTAATCCACTTTGACGCTGCATGAAAAGTTTTCCCATTATCTGAGATCATCTTCTTTGGTCGTCCTCGGACTGCAACGAACCTCTTGAAACTTGCCAGAAACTCTTCGCAACTTAAATTCGGTAAAAGTTCCAGGTGGAGTCCTCGTGTTAAGGAACATTTGTAGATGAGGATATACGACTTATCTTCATTCTTCTTGCTGCGGTAATAAATAGGTCCAGCGTAATCCACACCTACTACATCAAATGGCGTCACGCCTTCGGTTCTTTCTTTCGGGAGATTACCTTGAGGTGGGCTAGGTTCTGGTGCTGTATGAAACCGCTTACATCCATAACAATGGCTGAGGACTTTCTTAGCTAGAGTTCGTAGCTTTGGAATCCAGTATTCTTCACGAACTTTGCTCATATGTGACCAACTCCCCCATGCAGAGTCTTCGCGTGGGCTTGCTTTACAACCATTTCGGATAAAACATGTTTTGCTGGGAGATTAACAGGATATTCGCCTTGGATTCTTCCTCTACAGACGTATATTCCGTCATCGTTCTTTTGAAGATTTAATCTGGTGGAATCATATTTGAAGTTCTCAAGTATTTCGCTTTCAGATTGCGCTCGTTTAATCAGGAACTGCATCTGCCTCTGCATTTCCTCGGTTGCTAATGGCCCATTGACTTTCTTGCCATACACCAGGTTGTCAATAAATCTCTTAACCCATGCTAAAACTCGTACTGCTTTTAACAGCTGGAATTTCTCTAACAGACTATCGATAAAATCAGCCTCTTTCGGAATGGTAACTTTCATCACTTCTTTAACCATTCGACTTTCGAATTCAGATTTTTCGCTGGGTTTGATCTGTAATTGCTCCGGCCATTTCGCAGGCTCACTTAACCAACCAGGACCGTTCATCCAGGTTTCGTTGACTTGTAGATCTCTCGTTGTAGCTCGACTACCGATATCCGCAGGGTTCTGTTGAGTTGGAACATATCTCCACTCAATTTTCTCCTCGTTAATCTTTTTCACGCGATTCGACACAAATTGCTTGTAGTTTCCCTGTCCGTTAATCCACTGTACACAAACGGTTGAATCAGTCCACGCATAAACACCCGTCACCGGAAGATAACTAAGAACTTTTTTGGTATTATGGATAAGGTTGCAGACCATATGACAGCTGACAAGTTCCAATCTAGGAATTGTTAAATCGTGTTTCGCCAACCGTGCTTTGGATACCAGCAGACCTCGAGAAACTAGTTCACCCTGCTTTGCCACTACATAGATAACAGCACAACATCCCAGAATGCTGGCATCGGCAAACCCATGAATGTGAATCTCGGTAATTGATGCTCTATCTCGAGGAATGCTTCTTGGGAAGGTTAACACACTTGGCAGACTGTCTAACCATCTCTCCCATCGGCTTTTAAGATCTTTGGGCAGCTCAACGTCCCAACCAAGTTTCCGATCGCAAATGTCCCGGAAGATTACTTTCGCCGTGAGTAAATACGGAGCAGCTATACCCAGAGGATCATACAGTTTCGCCATTGTTTGAAGGACTGTTCGTTTGGTCATTTCTACATTCTGTTTCGGTAGTGATACAAACAAAGTATCTTCCTTCTTGTTCCATCCCAACCCCAGCAGTTTAGTATCAGATGGTTTAGTTCCTAAAGTTTCTTTGGCATAAGTAGATTCGCCGTCTTCCACGATGTCACTCTCTAACTCCACCGCATTAGAATGCCATTTGTGCAACATAAAACTTCCCTCACTAAGAATCTCTTTTGCCTGCTCTTTGAGTACTTTAGTCTCTTCAACTGTGTCACCTCCAATGTTTATATCATCAACATAAGTTCCTTCGGACAATTCTTCAACACACTGTGGATATTGCTGTACATACTTCTCGAGGTGAACATTCAAAGTTCCTCCGAGTAGAAATGGACTTGGGCCTAGCCCAAACA